CGGACAAAGACCACTTGGATGGTATCCAGCTGTGAAGTGAGGCGTGATGGGCAGCTCCAGAGGATGAACTATGGCCGGAACCTAGAGAGGCTGGGGGTGAAGCAGCTGGCTCCAGGGACAGGGGAGAGTTGGGAGTAAAGGTGGCAGGGAGAGGTGGGCTGAGCATCTGTCCCTGTCCCACATTGGTCATAGGTGGGGAGCCGTGTGGGCATTCGTCGGGGGGCAGATGACACGATGCACATCCTGGTGGATGGAGAAGATATGGGGCCCGCAGCCACCGGCATTGCCAAGGTAGTCTCCAGAGCTTCCATGAGTTCTGGGAATGTGACTGAGGCCTGCTGATCTCTGACTTCCTGGGTCTTGTGTGCCTCTAGAACGTGTGGGCTGTGTTGGATCTCTACGGGCCAGTACGCAGTGTATCTATTGTCAGTTCCACGAGGCTGGAGGAGCCAGAAGGCACCCAACCTCCTTCCCCCAGCTCAGACACTGGCAGTGAGGGCGAAGAAGACGATGAGGGCGAGGAGCGTGGCCTAGGAGTAAGAGGCTGCAGCTGGGCTTGTGTGCACACGGGGGTGGGGGTGGGGGGCAGTTGGGTCACAGGACACCAGGCCTTTGGGTTCTCTGATAGTTTGGCAGAGGATTGTATACAAACTGTGTAAACTCCAGTGGGGTGGGTTGGTCCTGGCATCAGCAACCCATGCAGCTCAGTCTCTTCCTCCATCCCAGGGCCAGAATCAAGTGGGGATTATGCCCACAGCCCTTGAATTCTTGGAGAACCATGGGAAGAATATCCTCTTGTCCAATGGGAACCGGACAGCTACACGGGTGGCCAGCTATAATCAAGGCATTGTTGTCATCAACCAGCCCCTGGTGCCTCAGCTGCTAGTCCAGGTGGGCTCAGCCTCCTTATTCCCAGCTCCTCTCCAGGGTGACCCAGGGCCAACCCTGTAGAAAGGCTTTTTCAGGTGGAGATAAACGAAGGCAAGCTGCTAATGTGAGCTTTCTGGGCTTCTGCTCATTCCCTATAATGGTGGTTGTAAATCAGTTACCACAAAGTGTCCACCCAATAACTGGTGAAGGAAGCAGTGGGGAGAGGCGGGGGGAGATGCCTGATTCTTCATGTGGGAAGAGGGAGGGCTTTCCAGAGGAAAGCTGCAAATTGAGAGATGTCAAAGTTAGCTTGGTGAGGGAAGTGTCTAGGGACAAGAATCTTTACAGAGGCAACAGTAAGATCAAGGCTCAGAGAGAGAGAAGGCTCAGAGCAGATGATGGTTCTGTTAAAAAAAAAAAGAGGGAAAAAAAGAAAGGAAACAACTGAATCCGCATCAGGAAGGGCAACATCCCAAGCCACACTCTGGGAGGTGCAGTGTTTCCTCTCTGGCTGGGGTGGGGAGCCAGGAGGCCATGATTCTTGAGTAGTCCCTTCTCACCCAGGTTCGAATAGACTTTCTGAACCGACAGTGGACATCTTCCCTTGTTCTGGGAGTCATCACCTGCCCACCTGAGAGGCTCAACTTCCCTGCCTCTGCCTGTGCCTTCAAAAGGGCAGCCTGGCTGCTGCGGGGCCGCGGGGTCTTTCACAATGGTCTCAAGGTGAGTAGGGAAAGGGTCAGGCCTCTGAGTGTGACCCAAAGGGAAAGGTGGGACCGCAGGTCTAAAGGAGGACAGTAGTAGACAGGCAAGGGCATGGGTGCCATTGCCTAGTTCGTCTTGCTGCTTCCTCCTATGTCCCTGCCATTGAGAATGTTATAGTCAGGGAGAAGGGGAGGAAGGCTAGAGCTATTGAAGTCGGAGTAGAGCCCAGACAGTGGACAAGTGTAGAGCTAAAGCCCAGGGACTGGCAACTGGAAGCAGAATGAAGGGCGGGATGGCTGCTGTGGTGGGAATCTGACCTCTGGAAGACAGTAGGTCTCTCCTCCCAGATCTGTGAAAAGTTTGGGCCAAATCTGGACACGTGTCCCGAAGGCACCATCCTGGGTCTACGGCTGGACAACTCTGGGGGGCTGCATCTCCACGTCAATGGGGTGGACCAGGGAGTGGCTGTGCCAGATGTACCCCAGCCCTGCCATGCGCTTGTGGACCTCTATGGGCAGTGTGAGCAGGTTAGTGGCAATGGGGCAGGGAGCAGGTTGTGCCTGGAAGTCTGGGCTATCTCATAAGGGGAAAGTCTGTGATCCAAGGAGGGGGATCAGCGGGTGCTGGGGGCTGATCAAGCTCTGGCTGAGCACCCCTCTTTCCTACAGGTGACAATCGTGAGCCCTGAACCAGGGGCTGCCAGTGAGAAGAGTGCTGGAACCCAAGGGGACATGGAGAAAGCAGACATGGTGGATGGTGCGCCAGCCCAAAGAGACCAGGATCCTGCTGCCACTCTCCCACCCTTGCCCCCGTGCTTCTAGCTCAGCTCCTGTGACCTGTGCCCTTCTGCCCCCTCAGGTATCAAGGAGAGTGTGTGCTGGGGTCCACCACCTGCTGCTAGCCCTCTAAAGAGTTGCGAGTACCATGCGCTTTGCTCCCGCTTCCAAGAGCTGCTGCTGCTTCCTGGTGAGTCCTGTCTCCCAGAACTCATCTCATTCTTGGGCCAGGCCAGGGCCATGCCCAGAGCGCTGAAGACCAGCTAGAGGGTGGCAGTGTGGTGGAGACCCAGAGCAGGAGCTACAGCACCAAGCGTGCTACTCACTCTCCACAGAGGATTACTTCATGCCTCCACCAAAGCGTAGCCTGTGCTACTGTGAGTCTTGCCGGAAGCTTCGAGGAGATGAGGCCCACAGACGCCGAGGGGAGCCCCCCCGGGACTACTCCCTACCCTTTGGCTGGTGCAGGTTTAACCTCAGGTACGTATGGACAGGATTGTGCATTACCTCTACTGTTCTTTGCTCCCTTGAGAAAGAGGGAACCCCAAGAGGATACATAGAAGTGATAAAATCTCCCATCTAGGGGATGACCTTGGAGAGCCAGTGGCCTTGTTTTATCTTCCCTGTCTTTTCACCTGTTAGGGTTAATCCCCGCTTGGAGGCTGGGACACTAACCAAGAAGTGGCACATGGCATATCATGGGAGCAATGTGGCAGCTGTTCGGAGGGTGCTGGACCGTGGGGAGCTGGGAGCAGGTATCATGGAACAGGCCAAGGCAGGGCAGGCTGGGCCTGGGGGTCAGAGGAGGAATGAAAAGGGCTGTCCTGACCCAATTATTCTCGTAGGCACTGCCTCCATCCTGAGCTGCCGGCCTTTGAAGGGAGAACCTGGGGTAGGGTTTGAGGAGCCTGGTGAGAACTGTGCACCTCCTCGGGAGGAGCAGCCCCCTTCTGTGCTGCTTTCTCCCTCCCTTCTATATGCTGGGGCTGAGACTCTGGCCTCCAAAGTGCAGTGAGTACATGGGAGGGGTGGGGAGAGATCTCAAGGGGTTTAGACAAGAGGGGGCCCCAGGGCCAACCACTTAGATCTCTACTTTTTGTCACTTTGTCTTGCTCGTTGCTCAGTCTCCCCCCAGCCCTTTTTCTTCACTTATTCTTCAAACTAATATGCTGTCCCAATGGGCGAGAAAAGAAGCCTGTTCTTGTGGAACTTATGCCTTTTCTCTAATGTTTATACAAATATTTATTTTTAAAAAAATTAGTATTTTTAAAGCTGATAAGTACTATGGAAATAAAGAAAAAGGAGAGTAGGCCAGAGAGTGGCTCATGCCTGTGATCTGAGTGACTAGGGAAGCTGAGGTGGGAGGATTGTTTGAGGCCAGTTCAAGACTAGCCTGGGCAATATAGCAGGACCCCACCTATCAACACAAAAAAAGAAAAAGGAGAGTGGAGTGAAGGAGATGAGAAGTATGGTTGGAGCAGGCATCTCAAGAAGGTGGTATTTGAGCAAAGACTTGAAGGAAGTGAAGGCTATAGCTGAGCAGGCTTTGGGAAGAAGCATTTCAGGTAGAAGAGCAACTAGAGTTAAGTTCCTATAAGGTGGGAGTATTTCCTAGGAACAGCTAGGCCTGGTGGCTAGAGTTAGAAAATGGGGGGAGGTGGTAGGGCCAGAGGCCTCACCTCATTTTTTTCTTGTCTGACAGATTCCGGGACCCTAAATCCCAGCGGACGCATCAGGCTCAGGTGGCGTTCCAGGTGTGTGTGCGCCCTGGCTCCTACACCCCAGGGCCCCCTTCTGCTGCCCTTGGAGAACCTCCTGACCCTCACTTCAGCCCCGCTGAACTTGAGTGGGTCACTAAGGAGAAGGGGGCCACACTCCTCTATGCCCTGCTGGTACGGGTGGAATGAGGGGTGAGATGCCACTACTATAAGCACAGTTGGGCCTTGGGCCCGTGGACTCTGATGACTGCCTCCACCTCATTCCAGTGACACATGGCATGCACAGGTGCTCGGTCTTGGCAGATGGCAGGAGCATGTAGGCAGGCTCTCAGATTAAGTGGGAAGTGGCACATCTCCATGTCCAGGGGCCCAGAACACTCCCTCTGATGGGAGAAAGCTTGTGGGGCGCCCAGCTCCAGGCCCTGGGTACCCCTCTTCATGCACTGATTTGGGGAACATGACTCCCTCTTACTCCCTTCCCCCATATCACTTAATTTATTTCCGTTTTTTGTTTCTGGTTACTGTGAATCCAAGAGGAGTCTCTCCCTGTGCCCACATGAAGCTGCTTTTTCGGGGGCCACGGGGCGGGAGTGGGGAAGGGCGGGCACGAGGAAGATGGGGGCCCTCTGTACAGTTGTTACTGACTCTGATTTCTAAGGAGCCAATAAACACCGTCTCAGAGCCTCCGCCTCGGCCTCTCTTTCGCGCGCCCCTCCAGACCCGGCGGTCCCCTGGGCCGTCCCCAGGCGCTGTCCTGTGAAGTTAAAAGTGCTGAAGGTGCGCCAAGGGACGCGCCCGGCAGCCATGCGCAACCGGCGACGGGGTTTGGACGCCGCGGGCACCCGTTACAGCGCGCTTCCGTCTTTCCCTCCCCCAACCCACGGGGTTGGCCGGCGCCGTGACTCCGGAAGAAGTCTGTGAGACCGCCGGATGTGACGCAGGTCCAAGACGCGCCGGAGGCCGCGGAGAAAGCGCAGAGAAGGCGGGTAGGGAGGGGCCGGCGCCGGAGCTGGCGAGGAACGGGGTGGGAGCACCGAGCCTGGGACCCCGGCCGCCTGCGCGCGCGAGGTGGAACAGGGGCCGCGGGCCCGGCGGGGCGGCAGGCGCCCGAGGCACGTGACCACGGGTGCGAGCGGGCCAGGCAGACGGGTTTCCGCTTCGGCCGCGCGCGGTCCTCCCTGAACGCCCGCCTCCCCACAGGCCCTGCCTGAGGTCAGGCACTCAGTGACAGAGCCGCGCGCCTACGGCCCGCGCGCCCACGCCGGCACCATGCCAGCGCTTCTGGAGCGCCCCAAGCTTTCCAACGCCATGGCCAGGGCGCTGCACCGGCACATCATGATGGAGCGGGAGCGCAAGCGGCAGGGTGAGCTGGGGCCAAAGCGGAAAGATACACGGCTCAGACTGGCTTTGCTAACCCAGGGAGTTACGGCGGCAACCCACGCCGATCAATGCGGCCGAGGCTAGAGGAGGGAAGGAACAGCCCCACTGTGGTGGCCGTTAAGGGGCCTGGTCCAAGCTCCAGAACCCTTGAGCTGGGAAGGACCTTGGAGAGCACCTAATAAAGCCTGCTTCTCCCAGTCTCCTGTGGCAGCGATAGGGGAGCCTATACCCTCGAGGGAAGAGCCCTTACCAAGAGCGTACAGGCTTATTGGGATAACGGGCTTTTGCTGGTCTTGAGTCTCTATCATTTGGATTATTTTGACCACCCTGTCACTTCCATGTTCCGCCCCATTCTCCAGAGGAAGAAGAGGTAGACAAGATGATGGAACAGAAGATGAAGGAAGAACAGGAGAGAAGGAAAAAAAAGGAAATGGAAGAGAGAATGTCATTAGAGGAGACCAAGGAACAAGTAAGCAGTCCCTTGATCTTGAGCTGTGATTTATTATTCTCTTGGCTCTCCTTCCCTACCTTCATCTTCTCTCCCTTCCCCTCCCCTCCCAGATTCTGAAGTTGCAGGAGAAGCTTTTGGCTCTGCAAGAAGAGAAGCACCAGCTTTTCCTGCAACTCAAGAAAGTTTTACATGAGGAAGAAAAACGGAGAAGAAAGGAACAGAGGTGGGAATCAGAAAACTAAAAATTAAGATGGGGGCACTGTGGAACTGGGATCAGGTAGCAAAAGAATCAGTGTGTTTAACCCTAAGCAACACAGTGAGACTCCGGCTCTGCAAAGTTTTTAAAAATTAGGTATGGTGGCATACACTTGTAGTCATAGCTGTTTGGGAGACTGAGCCAGGAGGACTGCTTGAGCCCAGGAGTTGGAGGCTGCAGTGAGCTATGATCACACTACTGCATTCCAGCCTGGATGGCAGAGTGAGACTCCATCTCTTAAGAAAAAAAAGTGTTTGTCAAAACAGAAGATACCCATCCCTGACTTTGACTTGCTTTCTGCTTCAGTGACCTGACCACTCTGACATCAGCTGCATACCCACAGAGCCTGACTGTTCACACAGGAACTCATCTCCTCAGCATGCAGGGTGAGGACTAAAGAAACCACCTGACAGAATGGGCCCCCCTGGATGTTGCAGTTTCCCATTTCAACATATTATGAAGTTGCTCTCTATTTCTAGGGAGTCCTGGAGGACACAATCGCCCAGGCACCCTCATGGCAGCTGACAGAGCCAAACAGATGTTTGGACCCCAAGTGCTTACGGTGAGAAATAGGATGAGATATCTAGGCCCAATTGTTTTTCTCTACTACTCTCATCTTTGTTACTATTATTCAAGTCATAAACCTATCAAGCACTTGCTGTCTAGAGATTAGGGTATAGAGATACACGTAAGTCACTGGGATTCTGCTTTCAAGGAGTTTACAGGCAGTGCGTTCTCATCCTCCCTCCTTAGACCCGGCACTACGTAGGCTCAGCAGCTGCTTTTGCAGGGACACCAGAGCATGGGCAATTCCAAGGCAGCCCAGGTGGTGCCTATGGGACTGCTCAGCCTCCACCTCACTATGGGCCTACACAGCCAGCCTATAGTCCTAGTCAGCAGCTCAGAGGTGAGTAATGGAAAAAGGGAAGGGAGCTTTCCCGAAAGACCAGAGGGTGGGATGTCATAGAACAAAAGGAGGTTCTAATGGCTGTACCTCCTCCTTTCTCAGCACCTTCAGCGTTTCCTGCAGTACAGTACCTATCCCAGCCACAGCCACAGCCCTATGCCGTGCATGGCCACTTTCAGCCCACCCAGACAGGTGATAAACACCCTATGCAGGAGAGCTCTGGCTCTATGGGTCCTCCTTTCCTGTGTCTCATTCTGTTCATTTTACACATTCTTTTTTCCCCACCCAGGATTCCTCCAGCCTGGTGGTGCCTTGTCCTTGCAAAAGCAGATGGAACATGCTAACCAACAGACTGGCTTCTCTGATTCAGTGAGTATGACACCTTGGGAGGTCAGGGTTAGGGATGTGCTAAGGGGAGTCCTAGTGTGCCTCAGACCCTGATTCTGTTTTCTGCAGTCTTCTCTGCGTCCCATGCATCCCCAGGCTCTGCATCCAGCCCCTGGACTCCTTGCTTCCCCCCAGCTCCCAGTGCAGATGCAACCAGCAGGAAAGGTAAGGATGGTAATCAGATGTACTTGTCAGAACCCCTACACTATTAGAAACAGGATTAGGTAGAACAGGTGGCCCATACCACCTGGCTTTTCTTGGGGGTGGTTATCAGTAAGGGCAGTTAAGTGCAAGAATATGCCCACTGACAAAAGCCCTTCTCATCACTGCCACCAGTCGGGCTTTGCAGCAACCAGCCAACCTGGCCCTCGGCTCCCCTTCATCCAGCACAGCCAGAACCCGCGATTCTACCACAAGTGACCATCAGATTATATCTTCAGCCTCATGCCCCCCACCCACCATGGGTGAGGGTCCTCCTGTGTGTCCTAGGCCAATAAAATCTACCTGCCACTGCCCCTGGCTGCTGCTGTTTGTGTTGCCTCCTACCCAACTGTCTGGAATAGGCCAAGGCTGCTTGGCGGGTGGGGGGATGGCTGGCAGGTCCACAGCAAGCCCAACTGAGACAGTGGGTTACAGTGAACTCAGTGGCAGAGTTCTATTTCTGGCTTCCAAATATACTTACCTACCAGTCAGCAATTACCCATTTATGTCAAATAAGCAGCTGAGTAGGGGGCTTCATATTAAACTTGTAGTTTTATTCAGGTTTGATTTTAACAAATGTGTCGGGGAGAGAGCCCGCAGGAAAGGGTGAAGCCCATGGGGGCAGGGCCCTCCCAGGTGCCTGAGGAGGGGGCAGGTCCCCTCCCCTCTCCTCCTCTTCCCTCCCCATCTAAAGGGGTTTGGGGAGAGACACAGGCAGGGGAGGGGGCTGGTCCCCAGTCTGTGGGGGTGGTGCTTAGGGCAAAGGGCTATGGGGAAGAGGGAACCAGACCAGGGATGAGTAGGGGAAGGGCACGAGGACCATTTGCCAGAATCCACAGCTTTTTCTGATTCCAGATTGAATTAAAAAAAAAAAAAAAAAAAAAAAAAACTAAACCACAAGCAGCACCCACCCCCTCTCCCCCACCAGGGCTGTAGTGCGAGGGGAGAAGAGGAGGGCAGCTTCACCAAGGCCATGGCTTGCTCGCTCCTGGCCAAGGGAGCTAGGTGAAGGGCAGGGGCTCCCCGACAGATAGAGGGGGTAGGGGAAACCAAAATAAAACGTCAAATAAATTGTGTAGGAGGAGTCCAGCCTAGGGCCAGGCCATAGTCAGGCCAGGCTGGAGTAGGGGGCCTCTGCAGGCTCGAGGATCACTGCTGCCACCGTCGCCACCCTGGGTAGGAGAGAGAAACCATGTAAGACAGGATAATACCTTCAACAGGAAAAAGAATGGGGGCAGAAAGTAAGCTTGGAATAATTAATACTAGAACAACTTCAATAACAAAATGTGTGAAGGAGGGACAGTGTTAAATCTGTCACACTCACCTGGGAGCCAGTTATTTTGCCATGGCCTTGATTGCAACAGCTGCTTCCTCTGTCATAGCAGACAGCACCGTGATCTGGAGGAGCAAGAGGGATAGTCAGAAGTCTGAGCTCAGAGAAAGAAGCAAAGCTAAGCACAGAAACAGGGAGGGGGCACCATACCAGGATCTCTTCTCCACAGTCGTACTTCTGCTCAATCTCCTTGCCAAGGTCTCCTTCAGGCAGACGAAGGTCCTCTCGCACCTCCCCGCTGTCTTGGAGCAGTGATAGGTACCCATCCTGGATGCCAATCAGCTGAGGGCAGATAGGGAAGGAAGCTAAAGGTAGGCCCAGGTAGGTTGAGGGTAAAGGTTCTGATAGACAAACTGGGGTGACAGCAAACTACTAATACCAAGTACCCTCTCCTGCCATTTCCCTCTTCTCTCCCAGCACAAGCTCTTCTGGTCAGTTCATACCTTCCCCCCATAAACCACTAACCCATCTTCATCCAGACCATCTACATACCTGGAAGTCATTCCTTTTGATGTTGGGGACATCCATATTATGAGTTGACGGGCAGATATCTTCATATTTCTTCCCAGTAAAGATGTCAATACCAACCAGGTGGACCTGCATGTATGCATCACAAAGAGAAACCCAACCAAACTCTAGGATGGAGGAGAAAAAAGCTCAAGTTGTCCTTGACAAGTGAGGGAAGTCAGACTACATTGTTGAGGCAATGATTAGGAGAGTTGGAATTGAATCAATCAACCCAGAAAAGAAACACAAAAGCCTCTTTAAAAAAAAAATCCTGAAATGAAAGACCACCATTGAGATTAGGGTTGACAGCACAAAGGAAAACTGTTGGGCAGGCTTGGAGAAGACAGTTACCTTGTCAAAGAAATATTGACAAACAAGATGCTAAGAGCCCAGGGGAGTGAGAAGAGTCTAGGTGAAAGTTTGGAAGAATTTTCTGGACATCAGGTAAGAAGTTGAGAACTTGGGAAATAAGGCAGGTGGGCAGGAAAAGACTGAGAAAGATGTGACAGGAAGAGAACTGAGAAGAGAAAAGGACTTGGGAGCTCAGAAAGAACTATGCAGTTAGGAAATAGGCCAGAAAAGCATAAAGGAGGATCTAAAAATTAGAGAATAACCCAAGATCAATGTCAAATCAACAGAAGATAGAAAAAATGATTAGGAAACAAAACCACAAGAGTAAACCAAGTTGAAATTTTAAAGACAAAGAGGAAAAGACTGAAGTGACAGAAAGCAACAGTCAGAAAGTTAAGACCCAAGAAAGCAAGGAGGCAGGAGGAACCCAAGGAGAGTAAGCTGGGCAGGTAAAAGTAGTTTGATACTGCATCAGAGTTCCAAAGGGAAAACTAGAACTGGGGGAAAAGGTAACAAGGTGATTTACAAGCTCAGAGGTAAGAAGGCTATATTCTGTGTTAGGGCTGGCAAAACAAACACTACCTAAAAAGGCTCAAGGGAAGAAAATTAAACAGAAAGTGAAAGCCAGGAATAAGAAAGAAGCAGCTGAATAGCTTAAACATAAAGGCCCAAGAAGAGAAATTAAAGAGTTTGACACAAAGATGAAGAAATGGAGGGACTACCAGAAAATGGTGGGGGGACAGAAGGGTAACCACAGAAGAAGCTCAAGACTGGGGAGGAGGTGTAGCAGTCTCAATGAGTATAAGGATCCAGTGCTGAACAAAAGGAGCACCAGACAGTAAGAGCAGAGCTTAAGGAAGGTAGAAGGCCAGGACTGACTGATGTCAGCTTGCTGCCAGGAGTCCCAAGGATACTGCAGGCATGGGAAAGGCAAGATGTGGAGGTGAAATTCTGACCTTGGCGTGGCCGTGCTTGCCAGTCTTCGAAGTAGACATCTCGACGATCTTACATGGCCGGCCTTTGAGCACCACAAAACCATTCTTACGTAATGCTGAGCACTGCATCGGGAAGGTGGCTGAGGCCCCTGCATCTCCTGTCTCGAAGTCCAAATCATCTGCCATTTTAAGAGGCTTCGATTCCAACTAGAGCCAAGAAGAGAACAAGAGTGAATAAGGATGGAGGTTAACGGGTCCTCCAATCTATTACATTTCTCTCTGGACATTTTCCCACCTCTTTATTTCATTAACCACCTAAAATAAAGTCAAAGCTCCTGGACTAAATACTGACTGGGCTCAAATATACTTAAGAACTTGTGTATGGGAGTGGGAAATAGCTGAATCCTCCCCTGAAATGACACCTGAAGTGGTGGCTTGGGAGAGGAAGGCTCCAGAGAGTTGGAGTGCAAAACCCGAGATGAGGAAAGGCTACTTCCTGGGAGGGGGAGGACTCAGGTGTTACTTGCTACTGAAACCAACCACCCCTCTTCCCCACACATAGCCAGGGCTATAATTAGGTGAGCAGCTATGATCCAGCAAAAGGGCGGGGCTGATGTGGGGGGGAGGGTGGAGACTGAAGAACAAGGCCCCACCCGTCTGTTACACCCCCCCCTTTCTATCCACACACGAACCAGTCAATGGTACAGGAAACCACAAGGCCTCTTTGGGGGATTCCCACCTCGCCAACACGCACTTGCAGATGGAGCCCAAGGGGGAGAAAGTTAAGTTGTTTCCTAAACGGTCCCCCTGCCAAACACCTCAATCTTGGTTCCCAAAGGGAATCCAGCCTCTCCTGGAGGGCCCTCCCACTTTTCCCAGGATGCATCGGTTCTGTCGGCTTTTCAGGCCGGGCCTGTACAGTCAGTAGAAAGTGGGGGAGAGGGGGGTGGTGAATGACAATAAAGTGAAAGCAAAAGATTTGGTAGTAGTGAATAGCAGAAATCGTACTAGGCGTGTAGAACTCGAATCTAAAACCGAGAAACTCCCAAGTCAGACACAAGGAAGACAGTGACAAGGTGAAGAGCGTATATTATGGTGGGAAACGCATCTTCCCGGGACATTAAGGCGCTGTCGGCACTGGCAGACAGAAGAGTTAGGCTCCTGTCCAAATCCCTCAGTTGCCCCATTTCTCCCAGCTCCGAAGAGTGCCACTTACACCTGGCTGGTAGCTTCACTTCACAGGATTGCAGGGAAAGCTTCAGAGGCCCATGGAGTTGGGGAGGACTAATATATGCCTGCAGCAGGCCCTCCAGGGTGATCAGGACCGGGGTCTCGGGCCTCTTACACTCCTCAAGATCCGAGACCCCCGCGAGGAACAGCTCTCCCAGCGCTGGGGGCTGCCGGCTCCCGCCCACCATGTGGCCGTTCGGGGCTTCCGGTGGCCGGGACCTGGGGGAGGGGTCCCCACGCTGCCATGCGGCCCCGGTCCACATTCAGCCATGAGGCCTCCGACCCCGAGGGCAGCCTCCCATGGGGGGCACTTCCGGTGCTACGGCCGCCCCCTCCTCAAAGGCTGCGCCAGGCCGGAGCCATGCCGCCTCCCCTCCCCCCGGCCGGCCACCAACCCTCCCCTCAACGTGCCCTCTCACCGAATAGCCCCCTCCCCCACCTCACGTGGCCGCGGGGCGCCCGGTCCTCAACGGCCCAG